CACCGAAGACGACGAAGAGTCACTCGCCATTCTGTACTGAAAAGTTCAGTGAACGTGAACGATCATTTATTTATGGGAAATTACAACCGAAGTCCTCAACCTTTAAAATCATTTTCACTTTCATCTCCAATCTTTATTTTTTTGGACAACTATCTCTCTAATTTTTGGTGAATCCCAGGGCTTAGGAGGGTTAAGAGTGACCCTCCAACTATAAACTGCTTCCATTTGTAGAATAACCCTTGTTTGGATATTTATTGAAATATTAACAATTGCTATACGAGGAACACAAAGAGGTTTATCCATATTATATGCTGTCATTGTCTCATTTTCAATCATATTTTCTGATACATCATTTTTTACCTTAATGTCAAAATTGATGGGCTATCGTAATCTCAAACTAAATAAACACTTATTTGTCACTTGAGATTGGAAAGTCTAGTGGATATTCGTTGAGTATGTTATTGATAAATGTATTTTATATATTTATTTAGGCTGTTAAATTAGAGTATTTGTTGGTCATTTTAATAAACAATGGCTTAATTTAATGTGACTCATAAATTATAGATAAAGATTGATGATTATGGCGGAATTGGGAAAAAAAAAAAAACCAACAAAAGGGCTAAATTGCAAGAAATTCAAAGTTTGAGAACTAAAATTGTCACACCCCTCATTTTTTTTAGTCAAAGTCATTAAGGACTTAAATTGAATAAATAACTTTTATGGGACTTAAATTGAAATTTCGAGTAATTGAAGGTTAGGAATGATGTAATAAAGGAATCCAAGGATTTAGTTTCTATTATGGGAAAAGAAATGACTAAATGTGATATTGTCTGAAAGTGGTGAACTTGCCTAGCAATTATTTAATATTTACCCATTGAATAGCATATATTTTATGTATTTTATCATATATTTTGGGGAAAGAGAGAGAGAAGAATCGAGAGAGACCGAGAGGAGGAGGAGGAGGAGGAGGAGGAGGAGAGGAGAAGAAGAAGAATTATCAAGGTAGGGTTCTCAAATTTTTTCAATTTCTCATTTGGTTTAGAATTGTAAGTATAAATTTATTGAATTAAATTTTTAAGGGTTATAGGAAACTTGCTTTAATTCAAAGTTTAGCAAGAATTATATGTTGTCGATATGTATTTGATGTTTAAAATAAGTATATGTCAAAGAAATATGTGTTTGGAAATTAGTGTTGAAGAAAGTATAAACTTTGGAAATGGGTTTGTGATATAAAGGCATATTATTTGAAACTTTTGGAATAACGTGATGCTAAAAATTTAAATTAAGGATTTGAGGTTGAAATTCTCCATATGTATATATATATATATTTAGCAATTTTTGAGTTTTTGCAAAACAAGTGTTCGTTTCAAAATGCTGCCCAGAAAGGTGCTATTTCCGTCAATATTTTTGGTGACAGATTTCAATATTCAGAAATTGGTGCTAGTTTTCAATATTGTGGAATTATAGTGCTAGTTTTGTCAATCATCTAATTTTGGTGGATTTTTAGTATTGGAACCAAATTAAGTGTTAAATATTTGACGTTTTGGTGCTAAAATAATTTATATAAAAAAGTATATGTTGTTAATGACCCTAAATGAGATTATGAGATTGAAAATAAAATATGTCAAGTTTCCATTGGTAAATTATTATTTCTAATGGTAGGAAAATACTTAAGGAAGGCTTGTGAAAGGATATGATTTATTATAGTGAAAGCGTGATATCATACTTGAAATCTAAAAGTGATGAGGCGACGAGAATAGTGAAACCATGGTCGACTATAACTTTGTGAGTGGATATAAAATTTATTTTTCAAAAATTAATATTTATTAAATTTATGTTAGATTAGAAAATTTATTATTTCATACAGTTAATTTGACAGCATGATTTTTAGAATAAAGTGAATTTATAATCAGTTATTTTTAAAGTTAAATTCAGTTCAGTTAAATCATTTTATTGGCATACTATTTCAGTATTAAATACTTCAGCATATTTAAAGTTATTTTTAAAACCACCAGAAAGTACCCAGATGACTTTACCCTAGTCTGCACTGGTGTGAATGTGTTTCCACAGTGTGTGACGAGTTATGATGATTTTACCCGCTCTATATTATTGTGAATGTGTTTCCATAGTGTATGGCCAGAATTACAGAATTTTAGCTCTGTGCGCATATGACCAGAATTTAAGAATTACATAATTGAATAGCTTTGCCATATCTATCAGTGCTAACCAATACATGAGTATAGTTATTTCGGGTACCTTTTTGGTGTGATTTTTCAGTATTCTACAGCTTATCAGATTTTAGAATACAAAATTTAGTTTATTCAGTTTAAAGAATAAAGATTTAGCTTAAAGTATTGTGTAATGATATTTTATTATAAAATAGTTTTTAGAAAATTAGCAGAAATGGAAAAAGTATATTTGAGAATTGTTGGTTGTAAAGAAACGAAATGTTGATTTGCCGACATTTTATTTGAATAGTTTGTAGTTTGAGGGATTGACGTAGTCCATTTATATTATTTGTATTGATTTGAGGAAAATTGATTATTATTCAGGTGGTTTTAGTTTATATTTAAAGGGGAACTCTGTCAATATTTTGTTAAAAATATTTTTAGTCAAGCAAGTCAAGTTGCGTTGGTGGTAGGTTCGACGTTTAGCTGGTATCTATCATCGGCGCATGACATGTATCGAATCCATTAAGATGATTCGGGATAGGTCATGTTAAAAATGCACTAATTTAAAATTTGTGTTGAACCTCAAGACAAAGACTCAAGAGTGCTAAGGGGCCAATTGAACGAGAAAAGAAGACAAATGACTGAAAAGGACTAAAAAGTTTAGGGAATTGGTCCCCAAGCTAGACCCATGCAATTGCACGAGCCTACAGACCATGTGATCACATAGTGATCTTGCAGATTGATTGCAGCAAAAAACTGTGTGAGCCATGCGATCGTATGGCTTTTCGAGGAAGTGTATTTTCTTTTCTCTTTCTTTTGTCGGCTCTTTATGGTACGAGATCTTTAGCCCCTTTTTTAACCTAAAAAGAGTTCATAACATGAGCTACCAAGTTTTTATCAAAAAATTGAGTTTAGCAAGAAGCAAACAAGGACTTTACAACAAGATTTGCAAGTGCGAAGCTCAAATTGAAGATTGAAGTGTAAGAAATTGAATATTTGAGTTCCTTCATCTATTTCTTTATTTTGGGTGATGCATTTTCACATTTGTATAATTTGGATTCAATTATATTGGGCAAAACTTCATATATTTATTGAATGAACGATGAAACCTATTGATCGTATTCATATTTTAGTTAATTTATTATGTTCTTGATTAAGTATACTTATTTCATTGTTTGAATGTTTGCGCACTTTTGAGACAATTTGTTGCTTATTGTAGTGTTGG